CTCCACCGCACTTCTCTCTGCCTCCCCTCCTCTCCCGTCTTCCTCCTGCAGAACATGAGCTCCTGGAGGGCAGGGCCTTCTCCCAGCATTCACTATACATCTGAGCGCCCTCGTGAGAGGAGCTGGGGAGGAGGAGGCCCGAGGAGCCGTCTTGGGCAGGGCAGGAGCAAGGCTGGCTCAGGCGGAAGAGGGGACGAGACACAGACCTGGCCGTGGTCTCTGGAAGCAGGGACACTTGCTGGTGGTGGCTTCTCCTTCTGCGACTTCTTTTCACCATCCTTCCCTGCCCTTTTCACATCGGGGGCTGACTCGGCTGGAGCATCATTGGCCTGAAGTAATAAAGACCCCAAACATCAGACCCAGGGGACGAAGTGTAGCAGGGAGACTGATTCCATGGCTTAGGGTCAGCACCTATTACAGCCCCAGTTACAGGCTGGAAAAGCCACCCCTTCCTCTCAAACCACCACCACCCAGCTCCGGGGAGCAGGTCTGAGGGGACGACCCCCCAGATGGAGCAGTGACTCTGAACCCCACACAGAGCAACGCCTGCGAGGGCCCTGGCCATCACTTTACCTCACAGTTCACCCCAGAAGCTGGGGTCTCCGCCTGCTCCCTGGCGGTCTGTACCCCTTCCCTGCGCTCTGAATTGTCCCCTTGTGAGTCTGGCAACAAGTGAGCCTGGACACATCTTTATCCACAGGGCTGCCTTCAGAGGCAGCCGCGGCAAGGCTAGGCCCCTCCCAGGGCAGTGAGGGTAACCCGCGGCCGGTGGTGAACCGTGCGGACCCTGCTCAGCCCCTGACGAAACCGGACCAGGAAACCGCTTCCTGGCGGCGTCAGGCAGGCGGGAAAGTGGACAGAGCCGCTGCTTGCAGATGCCCCACATCCACTCACCCTACGCGGCCGACTCGCCCTCTGGACGGTACAGGAAGTGTCAGAGCAAGACTCCACCGGGTTCTCTTGTCCGTCATCCGAACCCAGGGACAAGGACGGGCCACCGTCTTCCTTCAGCGCCTCCCCACGCTCCATTTCCCCGTCCGGAGCCCGCACCGCCTGGGCGCTATGAGTCTCGGGATCTGCAGAGGCAGGGAAAGAAGGGTCAGATGGCAGGGGGAGCAGGCGCACCTCACCAAGGGAATCGGAATTCTCCACACAGACGTTCACCCGCAGATTGCCACCATGTCCTTCCCTCTGCTGCCCTGCCTGGGCACCTCAGACCAGTATGGTTCGATTCCTGTTCTCAGTGGGCAACCTCCTTCCTGCAGGGAGCTTGGTGGGCTAGGGGACTGGGACCCCGGCCCCAGCCACACGAGGGATGAGCCACCCAGCCTGGTGTCCAGCTCCTCCCTCCCTGCCTTCTGACCTCCAGATCAGAACATTCTCCTGGATGATGCTCTCTGAGAGTGTGAGGCTCCTTGAACCCCAAAACTAAACTTGTCATCCCTCCACCCCTACCAGAAACTCCTCTCAGTGATGGGTACCCTGTTCCAAGCACCTCCCCTGTCAGCAGCTTTGGGGGGTACCTCATGGCTTCCTATTCCCTGCACTAAACCATCTGTCCACCCCCCAGGCCGGTCTGCCTCCAAGTTCATGACCACGTACAACGAAAACCCTATGGACCGCAACATTCCAATCTGCAGTTGATGATGGGAATGGCACAGGACTAGGCATCCTTTCGTTCCATTGTGCTAGGGGTCACCATGAGTTGGGGCCAACTGGAAGGCAGCTGACAACAATCAGGACTTTACACACATTAGCCCATTAAATATGCATGCCGCCTTAGGAGATAGGTGCTTTAATAGATGCAAACAGTGAAGCTCAGAGACGTGAAGGGTGAAGTAACCTGCCTGGGCCCCCAGGCTGGCCAGTGGGGGAGGGGGGTTTGAGCCCAGGGACCGTACTGCCCCCCTAGCTTCCTGCCTGGGCAAGCTCAGTAATTACTCAAATCATCTTCTCCGTGTGAGAAACCCCCGGGGGGCGCAGGGCACAGCTTCCCAGCTAAGGCTGTCCCAGGATGGATTCTCTGGCCCCGTCCCTGAGGTCCCTGCTCCCCTGACTCACCACTGAATCAAGGCCAGTTCCCACCACCCCTCAGTGTGCAGGTCTCCCACCCATGCTGCATGGCAGTGAGCTCTCCAGAGCATCCTGCAAACGGACCTGCGGGTGGACGACAGATGCCCAGGTGTCCCGACAGTGCTAAGCGGGCCTGGATGCCTGTCGTGGATTGAATTTTGTCCCCCAGAAATATGTGTCAGCTTGGCTAGGCTATGATTTCACAGTATTGTCTAGTTGTCCTCCATTTTGTGATCTGAATGTGCTGAGTGTAAGGTAACTAGATGGTGCCTGGCTACCATTACTGAACGTTTTGATCAAAGAGTCCATAGAAGAATCCTGATCAGAAGGAGAAAATGCAGAATGGAATTTCAAATTCTCATGGACTCCAGACTTTCTGGTGCCATGGAGGCTGGATGAACCCCTGAAACGATTGCCCTGAGATAATCTTTAAACCTTAAACCAAAAATATCCCCTGAAGTCTTCTCAAAAGCAAACAATTGTTTAGCTTAACTAGTAAAAAAGGTCTAGCTTGAGCATTATGCTCCTTTAAGAACTGTCTATATGGGATCAGATTGATAGCAGCAACTCAAAAGGTTAGATAGGACGCTTAGGGTGCAGTGAGTTTATGTTAATGGGGAGGAACAACTCAAAAGGAGGGCAAGAATGGTTGCACAACTCGAAGAATGTAATCAGTGTCACTGAATTGTACATGTAGGAATGGTTGAATTGGTGTAGGTTTTGCTGTATATGTTCTCGACGACAACAACAACAAAATTAGGGAAAAAAAAGAAAAGGGAAGAGGCTCCTTTCTCTCGTTCTTTCAGAATTCACTTTAGATAACTTGGCATTGTAAATTCTTTCTGTCTCTTTAAATCAGAGATGTCTCCTCAAGCACCTCCTCTTTCCTGAGAGGAGATTAGCATACCTTCAGGTATCAGGCCATAAAGATAGTAGTAGAAAATTAGCAATTTTATCTTGAAAAAAACAATATAATGGCTGTAACCCCTTAGCTAAGAAGCCTTGGTAGTACAGTCCCTAAGTGCTGGGCTGCTAACCAAAAGGTCAGCAGTTTGAACCTGCTTGCTCCATGGGAAAAAGATGTGGCAGTCTGCTTCCATAGAGTTGTACAGCCTTGGAAGCACTTTGGGGTACTTCTACTCTGCCCTTTAGGGTCGCTATGCACCAGAGTTGACTCAATGGCAACGTATTTGGCTTTTTTTTTTTTTAATCCCTTGTAAAAACGGCATGGGGGCAGTGTCTGCCCTCCTCTTACTTCACAAGGGGAAAAGAGAATCAAGATCAACAGCCCAAGGCTGATTTCTGTGAGGCGGGGGTCCGACATGGCCTCCTCTCTCTGCCGTCTTTACCAATTCTTACACCAACCGTCCCTCCCATGGCACTCTCTACTTCTCTGCTGGGCTCCATCATTCACTGCAACAGCCATACAACTCACAGACCATACTCACGATTATGGGGTTTATTAGAGAAGTCATAGTTACAATTCAGGAACACTCAAGGATACAGTTCTTCCATCAGGACAGACTGTTCCCAGCCGTGCTTGCAGGCACGCCCCTCCCTGGCCCCCAGTCTCTGCCCAAAGGCTCTCTGCTTTCTCCCTCCATGGTCTGGGAAGCCCACTGCACCGTCTCCTGCAGGTCTCTCCTTTCTTGGTGGTGGTGGAATCTTCTTTCTTTCCTGCCTCTTGGATGGCTCATTTCAAACCCAGTGGGATGGCAAAACTAACCAATCCCTTTGGTGAGCCACAGTTACCCTATCACACAGTCCTGCTCAATCACTTGGGTGGGAGTTACAAGACCATGGCTGGAAAGGCCACACAAAAGTGATCGACAGCACCACATCCCTTTAGCTCTGTAAAGGGCTAGATTACTTCCTGTGATGCATCACATTCCGGCTTCATGCTTATTCAGTTATAAAACGTGTCTTTCTCTCCTATTTTTGTAGAGAGGTTTTCTGGGCTGGGAGTAGATTTTGTTTTTAGTAACTGTCCTCCAGTACCACACAGAAGCACCTCAGAAGAAAGGCCTGGTGATCTACTTCTGAAAAACCAGCCACTGACAACTCTGTGGCAAGTAGTTCTGCTCGGACACAGAAGGGGGCACCACGAGGTGGAATCAACTCAAGGGCAACTAGGACTGGGAGGTTCTGGGCAGTATCCCTTTTTTTTCTTCTCTTTGTTTTTCAGGTGTGAGGAACTTTTAAATTTTGAGGTGCCAGTAGGTCTAATTGCAGAGATTTTAGAACTAAAATTAAGCAGTCCATTCAGAAATTAAGGGTTTTACTTCTACACTCCTGATAACCATTGTGCTTCTGTTAAAGTTACTGTGTGAAAAACGGTTCAGTCGTGCTTAAGAGTGCTCCCACAGCTGTCCTTAGAAAAAGCTTCATTAAGTTGTTAAAATAAATCATAGCCTGTAGATAAACATACAGTTTTAACTACCTTAAGAAGTTTCTCAGCAAGCACCTAGGTATTATCTCTTTTCTCTCAGCTAAATAAGCAGAGTTTATTTACACCCTCCTAACTAATAGTTGGACCCTGGTGGTGCAGTGGTTAAGAGCTCGGCTGCTAACCAAAACGTCAGCTGTTCGAATCCACCAGCTGCTCCTTGGAAACTCTATGAGGCAGTTCTACTCTGTCCTATAGGGTAGCTATGAGTCGGAATCAACTCGATGGCAGTGGGTTTGTTTTTTTTTAACTAATGCTACTTGACGGCAACGGGTTCGGTTTTGGTTAATGGTTAGGGAGCCCTGGTGGCGCGATGGTTAAGAGCTCAGCTGCTAACCAAAATGTTGGCAGTTCAAATCCACCAGCCCTTCCTTGGAAACCATATGGGGGTAGTTCTGCTGTGGCCTATAGGGTCACTATGAGTCGGAATCCACTCGACGGCAACAGGTTTGGGTTTTGGGAACTAATGGTCAGTTCTGTATCCAAAGATTCCAATTAAGCTGGCCCAGCTGCAAATGTATCACTAAACTTTTATATCACTAAACCTTCGTGTCAAAATTGCTTATACTTTTCATTTTAGAAATGTTGCCTTAGTTAAATTGTATCAAGTATGAGAGATTTCTGTTAGATTAGAAACTAATATAAAGTTTCACAGTTAATAGCCACCCTTATAAATCTCACCTCCTTTCCTGCCATTGCTTCGATGTAAAATTATTACCTGTACTCATTCTACTTGTTAAATATGTCTTTGTTTTGCCTGTAAGACAGACCATACCATTACAGCTGTGTAAGGAGCTTAAAGAAAAATTTGAGGTACTCGATATGATCTGAAATGGCCAGTTTGAGGATTGAGGGATTCCCTGTTTGCAGTTCTGTTTTTGCCCTAGAGGCAGCCATCTTCCGTACTAAGACAGGAATGTCTGGTAATGATAACGTAACTACACTGCGACCGCTCCCTGTCACATGTCTGTGTAATTGCTGCACTGTAACCCATCTAAGAAAGAGATGTACAGCTTTTTAAGCTAATCGCCTTACAGAACTGGGCACAGGAAGCCTTTCTTACAAGTGCTGCTTATGCGAGTTCCTGCCACAGAAACCTTTAACGGGTTCCTGCCACCGGAAGCCCTGCCTCAAAATGATCAACTACCAATCGAGTAATGCCTTACAATGATCTAAGCCTGTGGTTACCAATCCAGTGATGTCTTTCAGTGATTTAAGTTTGTAAGTACCAATCAAGTAATGTGTTTCATATCCATTGTTCTCCTATAAAACATTATTGCTGAGTTGCCATTTTGAATTTCTGGAGTCCATCACGTGGAATTCAGTGGATTCCTCGCTTGTCCCTTTTCTTTCAATAAATCTCTCAATTTTACACTAATCAGAGATTAAGACATTTAATGGTATAGTCAGCAGGATTCTGAAGGAATATTATCTTCTGCGTTCCTGAGAAGTCATGGAACTGGCTTGCCCTGGTACCAGCAAGGGCCTCTTGTACCCAGAACCATCTCGAATTCTCCCGGTTCGCTGAAGGTAAGCCTCTCAGATTGAAGCCTCCGC